GGCTGCCGCCGCTATCGTAGCAGGTATAGTTGGGATGCTATACAGCCTTGAACCTTCTCTGGAGGCTAAGCTGACCCCTGCTTACATCAAAAGTATCATCAAGGATACGGCCACCAAAGGTGTCAAGGATAGTAAAGGGGAAAAGACTCTCTCCTTCGGCCGCGTGAATGCCGCGGCGGCTGTTAATAAGAGTGACTTGAAAGAGTGACGATATAATTTCTCCATTTCGACTTCATGTCATGAGTCATGGCGACGGAGTCATTCACGTACTTGTTTCGTGAACTTCCGTCTGTAGCGTCTTGGGGCTCAAGTATGGTTCTTCCCAGTGACAACTCAGGATCATTTGAGGGTTCGGAGTCATTTAAATGAGGCTGATAATACCTGATACCGATGTCATAGGAGTCAATAAGTTCGACCCAAAAGTATAATGGGCAATCCGTGAGGCTTCCAAAGCACAAGCAATAAGCAATGGGGCACGCACACACATAGCCCGATCGATTGTATTCGGGCGACGACGACCCAAGTAGTCGCACGCACGCGAGAGCAGCCTCAGCACAGAGACCTTCCCAAGAGTGGAACGCTGTACGTCTATCTAGGTGGTCTTCCCCTCGTTGGATCATCCAACTTCGATGGGTTGTCGATTTAATAATTCCAATCGCCATTTTCCACGAACGTGAAGATCTGATGTCACACGTGGCCCGCGTAGTTGAGGATCTTTTATACATAATTTTTGACTCTCTACGCACAATTGTCGAGTTCGGAGTTCGCGCTGTGGCCTAACGTTCGGATCGGCCCTATTGGAGCAAGCAAGAGCGATTGATTAAAATTACTGTGAATTATAACCGCGAGCATCTCTGATTGTCGAAAGGGTCGCAAGGGAGCGATAGAAGCAATTAAAGGTTAAATTGTTAACCTAGGATAAATATCGATGCGGATGTTGTGCAACTCGCACTGCTGAGATGTAACCGCGAGGCGAGCGGATCTGCACGGGCATAAGACGGGTACAATAATGTACTGATAATGATATACTCGACCTATGCGAACCTAGGCTGAGGGATCTGGGGACGTGTATCACCCAAATGTGTCACCTTTCTACACTCACGTCGCGTGAATGTGAAGCAGTGACCCGTGAGGTACGTGCCAAGATCCGCCCCGCATCCATCTACGTGACACGGAGGGGGTATTTCACGCGTACACTTCGGCACAACGAACAACTCATTCTAGTGCCTCACAATGAAGCTCCCCGTAGCATCATTCTGGTTCTTCTCGTGCGACCTTCAATATGTCAAGGCGAGGGTGAGTGGGTTCGGTCCTGTGAACGGAGATCCCAACGGCCGATTCTATTATCAACAAAAGGCTTATCTTGAGGCCATCTCTGTACCGAAGGCTTGGGGCATTCTGGACTCTCCGAAGAGAACACACGTGACCATCGCAGTCGTAGACTGTGGAATCGAGGCGAGTCATCCCGATTTGAAGGGCGTCGTCATCGAGGGCTACAACGTCGTTGATGATAATAATAATACCAGCCCTCGTGGATCACATGGTACCAACATGGCTGGCATCATTGGCGTATACTGCCCATACTTACGAGAGATTCGAGTTAGTTGCGACTCTCCGATCCACCACTTAGACTTCCCCGCCCTTGAGTCGAGAACTCGACTCACCCACCCTTGGCTGCAAAACCGAATCATTGAGCTACGATGTGTAACCTATAGATCTCAAGAATAGCAACGAAAGAGATATGGAAATAAGAGAGATCTAACCGAGTAGTTTAATGATACCTGCCTACGGGCGGCAGTGGGTGGGTTAAAAAATTTAAGAAGCATAGCAACGCTAACGACTGATAGAGAAAATATCAGACCATCTCGTCGCAGTCGACTAGTCATCCCTTCATTATCTTGTAGTCTTGACACAATTCGATTCCGGATGAGTCGCTCGTCACTTGAACTCCTAAGCATGTTTCCCATGCTTCTCCAATCCGCGAATGATGAGGATGGCGTTAAGGCTCTCGAATATCTCGTGCGTGAGACGAGAAGTGATGTTAAAGGGGTCTTGTTTACGGATGGGTTCACAGGACCCTGGTGAATCGCCGATTCGCCAATTACTTCAGATCGGAGGATAGCTAGCCGGTGTCTCAGTATAGAATTTTCGAGTTTTCGAATTGTCTCACGCGCTGCCTCGTTTCACATAATTTCACATACTCTCGAGTAAATTGAAGCAATATTCATATGTCTGGTAGAAGACATGTCTA